CATTTGGTAATTTTTTTGTCTTCTTTCTTTAGATACTCCTATATCATAGGCAGAGACACCTGGTTTGAATGGTTCCCGAACTCAAATGATTGCCAGAAATCTGAACATACTTACCTCTGTGAAAAGGCCCAGCAGCTGGAAGAGGATCTGGACTTTAATGGATGTGGGCTGTGAATGATCTACACTTCCCATAAATGGGGTGTTTAGTGTCAGCAGAATTACTAACATACAGTCAAAGGAAAATATTAATTGCAGTGTAAGATCTGCATATTACATGTCACATAGGCACCTAGCAGTATTGTTATAATAAGAAATATGCAATAAACAGTTGGAACTGTCCTTTGTCTCAAATATCTCCCATGACCTTAACTTTTCTAACAAATCTGAAGAGCGTCCCATAAACTTTGTTTTTAGTTGCCTTTTGTAAACCCAACAATCTATGAACCTAAAAATATTCTGTAGACCTCTGCAAAGATTATCAGTCCTTCTTGCCAGTAGAGTTTTATATGAATGTTTTGAATTGCTGTAATAGTGACGTATCCCTTCCTTAGACGTGGCCTACATGTAGCAGAGACAATCACCTCAGACAATCTTTATCAGATAGCTCTGTGAAGATTGACTGTGCCCAAGCTCTGTGTGACCACCTCCCTACGTAACATTTTATGTTGCAACCGGGTTAATGACGGAAGAGGAATACTATAGAGTGTCACTTTAAGACAGATTTGAGTCTGGAGAACATACAAATGCCACATAAATAGGATTCTTGGTGGAAATCACTGAGGACCACTCAGCAATAGTGTCCTTGGTGGAAATTACTGAGCTACCCCTGTGCTACCCAGTCACTATACTGCCTATGTTTTCTGGTTGTCTAGAAGCAAAAAAAAAGGAGAAAAGTTAGGCTTTTCAGGTGTCATTCTAAGCATAGAACACATATATTGCACATTTCGCTGTTAAAAGTTAATTTTATTGTACAAATATTATAAATAAATAAATATTTTACACACCCATATCATCTTCCTATACATAATATAATATAAAATATAAAATCGCAAAAGGCTTATAACCTCCCTGGACCTCCCTGGGGGTTATAAGCCTTTTGTCAATTTATATTTTTGATTATATTATTTATAGGAAGATGATATGGGTGTGTACAATATTTATTTATAATATTTGTACAATAAAATTAACTTTTAACAGTGAAATGTGCAATATATGTGTTCCATGCCTAGAATGACACCTGAAAAGCCCCACTTTTCTCCTTGTTTTGCTTCTATTATATTAGGGGTGTGGTGTCCTGGTTTCCCTGGTGGCTCAGAACCGGTTCTTTTGTATTCTGGTTGTCTACTTGAGTTTGTATATTTCTGGGAAGACATCAGTAGATGGCAGTGAGCAGTGACATCCAAAGTTGGTATTAGACATCCATTGCAGCACTAGTATCTCTGGATAGTCAACAGTGCCAGATAGCACGGCTGGATCAGTGACCTCACGTCTCTCTACCCTAGTTAATCGATACAATTTGGACGCTTATTGGAAAATAAAGTATAAAACACCACACTGATATCATCACTCTATTCTCTCCTCATGTCAGCAAGTTCCCAGCACTAGACTGACAGCAGTGTGAAATGCAATAAAGTCATGACTCTCTCACACTGCTGCCTTCTCCACTTTCAATGTTTACCCTACTATGCAGAGGATTACAGGGTGCTAAGTTAAAGGCAGATTAAGTTACATACACTACCAGTATTTCAAATATTGTTTTATGAATTTGAATGAGTACATTGTGACCCATGGACAATCTGTCACTGTATAAAGATGCAGATAGTGACAGGGGAAGAGCCTGTTTCCACAGTGAAAGGGTGACTGGTTGGAGACAAGCGAGTGTTGCCCACAAAAAGAAAGTAGTCTCCAATCAATCAGGGTTCCCTCATGTGGGCATAGAGTGCTGCAAAGGCAGCATGGCAGTATGGACAATCAAGGAGCACATGCCTTGTTCTGCCTGGTCCTACAGACAGGAGTTGGCATACAAAATAAAGTAGTCACCAATCAGTCAGGGTTCCCTCATGTAGAGATAGAGTGCTGCAAAGGCAGCATGGCTGTATGGACATGCAAGGAGCATGTGCCTAGGTCTGTCTGGCTCTATAGACAGATGTGGGAGTCCAAAAGAGAGTAGTCTCTAATCAATCAGGGTTTCTTTGTGTGGGCAAAGAGCGCTGCAAAGGCAACATGGCTGTATGGACATGCAAGGAGCACGTGGCTAAGTCCATCTGGCCCTACAGACAGGGGTGGGCATACAAAAGAGAGTAGTCTCCCATCAATAAGGGTTCCCTCATGTGGAGATAGAGTGCTGCAAAGGCAGCATGGCTGTATGAACATGCAATGAGCATGTGCCTAGGTTTGTCTGGCCCCACAGACAGAGGTTGGTGTACAGACCGAAGGACTGCTTGAGAGAGAGCTTCTTTGTGTTGCCTTGATGAATAAGCTGGCTGTCTGCTTGCCCAGCGTGATGAATATATCCAGGATTATTCAACTTTACACCTGGCTTCTTGCTATGTTCCATCCCTGGTTTAAAGGCAAGTACACTACGGGTACCTCTAACCCCTTGCCGAGGTGGTCCGTCTCTCACAACATTTATTGAATAAATGGTGTTTTTTCAAGTGTTAGTGCCTAGAAGTCAGAGAAAGCTAAGCAAAGTTTACCTAGCTATCGATTCATCTGTGCTGACTCTCTAACAATAAACCGAAGCGGCAGAGACTGTTGAAAACACAAAGAAGGCTTTATTTTGTTTACCAGAAGTGAGACTGAACAGTGGAAATATACAGTGAATATATTGTATGTTTTATGCCGGTATTGCTCACTGAAGCAGCTTTCATTTATCACATCCAAATAAAGACAGATCTTCAGAAAGGGTGAAGAAATCATCACAGGTCTTTTCGTACTCCTTACGCTGACACTCTTTGCTGTTTGGCCACCACTCCACCCAGGAGTCACTCCCGATGATGTAGGAAAACCTAAAAGAGAATAGATGGGATATGAATGACATGGTTATCATTGAAGGCTTTTTGTCATCCAGGTCAGAAAATATCTAGTGGTAGTGCATCAAGTGAACTGAAAACCTTTAGGGCCCATTCACACATATGCGTTGCAGTTTTGTCAGTGTTATGCAATGCTCATTACATGCAATAGTGCGTTGTGGTGCCATTCATTTTCATTTGTACTCCATGTGCTGAAGATATGTACCTGTGTTGTAGCCAACTGCAAAGCACAGTAATGCACTACCATGAAATGTGATGCACTGTATTACCAAAAATATTGCAGATTTGATTTTCAGTTTGTTTTGGTGCCTTGGCAGCTCATTCAAATACAGGCTGCCCCAATGTAACACATGTTAACCCATGACATAAAGCGTGTTAACACGTGTGCGCCAGACATACTGCCATTGACAACCTAGCACACCGAGGATTGCTGGGAGAGCTGGGAGACCAGTATTGCCTGTGATCTTCCTGCAGCTGATCTCTTCCTCATTAATGATGTACCTTGCCTTGTTCTACACTACCAGGCAGGGTTTTGCTTCCTCAAGTCAGAGCCTCCAGCAAGCAGTACAGTAGTGACATCACCAAATTTCACTCCAAATCCTGTAAGACTAGCCGTCAGAAACTCCTTAGGTTTCACACTTCAGATATACAAGAGTGCCGAGACACCCTCATTTACTGGGAAGTTCACTTCTAGCTTTCAGACAAAGGGTGAATCTCTCATGGCACCGCGTAGGCACAATTAACATTTTTAGAAGTTCCTTATAACGTGCCACCTTCACCTTCATAACATCTCCAAAATACGCCCCTTCTTCACCAATGATACCGCAAAGCTACTCATACACTCACTTGTTATCTCTCATCTTGACTATTGCAACTCCATCCTCATTGGCTTACTTCTACACAGACTATCCCCCCTAAAGTCTATCATGAATGCAGCTGCTAGACTCATTCACCTAACCAACCGCTCAGTGTCTGCAACTCCCTTATGCCAATCCCTACACTGGCTTCCATACCCCACCCCCCTCTGCCAATCCCTGCACTGGCTTCCATCCCCCACCGCCCTCTGCCAATCCCTGCACTGGTTTCCACTCACTGAAAGGCTAAAATTCAAAATTGCCCCCCGGCTATATCTCCAACCTTGTCTCAAAATATCACCCTAAGCGCCCCCTCTGCTCCTCCAAAGACCTCCTGCTTTCCAGCGCCCTTGTCAACTCCTCCCATGCTCACCTCCAAGACTTCTCTAGAGTCTCTCCTATCCTCTGCAACTCTTTACCTGTCCGTCTATCTCACACCCTGGCTGCCTTTAGGCAATCCCTTAAGATTCATCTCTTCAGGGAAGCCTATCCCACCTCAACCTAACCACTGAACCATCACGTTCTAATACAATTCATCCCCACACAGCTTCCTCCTCATGTATCACTGACCCCTCCCTTTTAGATTGCAAGCCCTCACGGGCAGAGCCCTCCTTACCATCTTGTCTTGGATTGTATTGTGATTATAATGTTTTCCTTATATTGTAAAGCGCTGTGCAAACTCTTGGCGCTATATAAATCCTGTATAATAATAATAATAATAATAATAATAATGTAGCAGATCTTCACTAGTTCCACTTTAAGCATAACGGTTCTCAATACAGCTCATTAGTTGCCTTCCTAAGGCTTTGACAACACTTACTTATCTGTTTCTGTTTGCCAAACATCATTAAACGTGCCGAATATTATGTAATCCAGCCCTTGCTTAAACTTCAGGGTATCCCGACATTTAACATGGCTGATGAAGGTACGCTTCTGGTTCAGAACTTTGTCATCGGTTCCTAAAAATGCCAGGGAGGACAAAGGTTAGTTGTTACCCGTCAAAAACAAGCAGTGGCACACTATTTAGCCCTCTTTAAAAAGTTTCATATTAGGTGCAAGAACTCAAATTTCAATACACAGTAGATTAGGAGATAACTGTGATCTCTCTAGAAATGTCCTACATAGACAGTTGATGTGCAGCGATGGATATTAGGTGGGGGTGGAGTAGAAAAGAATATACAACAACACATATAAAACAGGAGAAGCCAATAAGGTGTTATTATAAATCACAACACAGTCATGTTGGTGGTACAAGATCTATGCTAATGTCACAGTATGAGTGTTATAAATTGCACAGTTTTCCAGAAAGTGCTGATCAGTGCTTTATTTGCATAGATTCCTTTCACGTGGGCACCCTCTGTCCCATCTCAGCAGGGTATACTAGACTCATCCCTTAGTGAATCGGATCAGAACAGAAATGGTTGTCACGTATGTGACATCTGTGCTCATTCTAATTTTTACTCCACCTTGTGATGGAGGATAAACAGCCCATGTAATCCCTATGGGGTCTATTTATAAACAGTTCACAGAGCCATTCACCCTGTGAATTTCTGTGAACGTTCATTCTGTGTGAATAGAGGCAAAAACAAACATTCTTATCTTTTCAGGTCGAATGTAACCTTCGGAAAATACCACATTATGGCCACTAGATGGAGCTGAGGAGCAGAAGTCTGCCCACATCCGGTCAAGGCAGTAAAGCAGACCTGACTGCAAACTTAGAAAATATAGTATTAATTTATGGCCGTTAGACGGAGCCGAGGAGCATAGGAAAGCATAATTTACTTCTTATGCTTTTCAGTGCCATCTAGAGGCCATAATGTAGTATTTTCAGACAATTACCATAGCCCTGCACAAGAGTACATTCAATTTTGCGAATGTACTCTTGTGCAGAACCTACACTCCTAAGAGAACCACACAGTGGTAGGGGAAAAAAATAAAATGTAATACATTATTGTTGGTTATGTGTTCAGTTGAAGCACTGAGCTCTTGGGGGTATGCTGAATTAAGTTTTACTTGCTTAGGAGAACATTACATCAGAATACAGCACTGTAAAGGAAACTTCCTGTGTATCATAGATAAGTATGCATATAGAAAACTAACATTGCACCACAGCACCATCTACAGCCCAAAAGACATATCACAGTCAGCGGCACAATCAGTACATTAGAATATCAGTAATATGCTGTTTTATTTCTGACAATTACCGCTCTTAAAGACGTTCGTTACATGCATCAGGTATCGATCATAGTCATTGGCATACTGTATCTCAAGAAGAGTTACTTTGTACACTGTCAAGAGAGAGAACATGTGGGTTATAGTATGGAAATACAGTGTGTCAAAAATGTAACATGTATATGCAACTCAACTAGGGGGGCAAAATACATGCAATGCATATGAAAATCAAGCAATAACATTTCTGAAGAGAAGAGACCTTGGATCTTAAGAAGCCCATATCTATGTATGCAGCCCAAAAACTCAGCATATCATTTCAGTCCAACTGAAGCTGATTTTTCGATTATAGTAAAAGGCAGTCGCTGGCTACTTATATCACCTGGTGTCTGCAATAAAAAAGCTCAGCATGCCTAAGGCCCCAGTTCTGCTCCTGTCCACCTTCACATTTTGTGTGTTCCCACCTACCCTGTCTACCTGTCCTATGGTATTCACATTTCGTTATGTGCATGCCCTTGCAAGAATGGACCTCCTCATTGTGGCCATTGCAGGTAAGTAGATATGTGTAGCCCTGTTTCGGGGGGGTCATGTGAGATGACCGTCTCCGATCAACTACCGCTGCCAACCTGTGGGTAACCGGGAAACCTGAGTCTCCGCTAAGTGGGAGTAAACGGGCTGTAATCAATTGTAATGGCAGTGCCTCCACCCAACTGGGCCTTGTGAGTCCATGGATGCCAATTTAATCTTTTATTGAAGAACTTGGAATAGTGGTTGTAGATGGACATGCTGGAATACCTGAAAATACTGGTAATATAGTAGAATCTAGTAAGGTGTACAGATCCTAGTGGAAGGTCCATCTTCTCCCTCTTGAAAGGCCAGAAGTGTCTCCATTCCCACAGAGGTTCCAGTGTATACTCTGCTTCAGGACAAACTGTAGCCTGGACCAGTGGAGGGACCAGTGGTGACTACAGTGTCCCCATGACCTCTGTTAACATGGGTTAGGTCCCTGCATTGGATCCAGCAAAATCAGATGGCACATGGCATTCCATGAGGTTAGGCCTTGAGGGCCTAACCCTCAGACCTAGGCAGCCGCCCAGCACCTGAGCACCAACCTCCCAACAGGGGAGTGGCAGGAACAAGACTACCCCAGTTCTGAGCATTCTCATGGGCTCTGATATAGCCAATCCCTCCTACTATGAAGTTTACTGCACTGATTGGCCACCACAGAACCACGGTCACATGATGCCGCTCCAGCACAGTACTTTGTCACAGCAAAGTCTGGAGGATGAGGCAGATGAACAACTCATGAGCACACCCTACTGGAGGAAAGTAATGACTAATTTGAAAACCGGAATAACACTGCTTTATTACAGGGGGTGTTAGGGGGTAGACAAAGAGGCGTAACAATCGCCATAGCGACCCAGACGGCCACTATGGGGCCAGGGCACACCTCTGATGCTGTGTGGGCCGCCTGGGTCGCTATGGCATGTAAGGGTGCTGGCTGTCACTGACACAGCTCAGCAGCGGCTGTGAAGATCACTGACAACCTGTCAGTGATGTGTGCAGCGGCTGCGGCGCATTTCCCCTCACAGCCGCTGCGGAGCTGTGTCAGTGACAGCCAGCAGCTGGGGCAGAAGAGGCCGGCGTTCACAGTAAAGGAGGAGGCAGGGCCCGCCTAAGAGCAACCCCGCCTCCTCTTACATCACTGGCCAGCGACCTAAGAGCAGACGGGCTCGTCGATAGAAGAGGAGGCGGGGCCCGGGGACAGAAGAGGAGGTGGGGCACTGCTACCACGGAGGCGAACAGCGCTGACAGGTAAGAGGTGTGCAGCCCATCTGAGACCCTGCAGAACCCACCATAGAGAGTCTACGGTGGGCTCTGCAGGGTCACTCTCAGGTGGGCTGTTTGGTATATCAGGCGGGCTCTGCAAGTGGCATAACTAGCAATCACGGGGTCTCATACAAAATTTTGCTATGGGGCCCTGTGATTTCTAGTTACGCCCCTGGGTAGACCCCTACATATTGAAAATCAAGAGAAACCATCTCTGCACTGAAGTTCCTTTACAGGTAACCTTTTGGTGCTTTAAATCTCCTGCATGATGATAATGGGTGATAAGTCAGATATTTAACAGCCAAATGTCTCACCATAGTCCACCCCCCTATCACATGCCTTCTGCTTTCTTTCAATGACACTGTGGGCTTGGCCTGTCTGCTGCGCCATCAAGCAATTACCTTTAAGAAAGAGAAAATACGGTAAGCAAAGAACAAAGTAACATAGAGTCCAATTTCCTTTAATTCTAGTCTAACATATCAGGTCTCCACGCCAGTATTATACAGGATCCAAGAACCGGAGAAAAAAAATGTGGAGGTTAAAGAAAAAACTGATGATTAAGGGCAACAAGTCCGCTATTATTATTTTTCTTAATCCAGTTTTTATAGAATAGTCCCTAATAAATGTATTTGGAACAACACCCTCTGACTGCTGCAGGAGAAATGATCAGACTCTTACATGGTTCCGTTATAACCTCACATGAACAAGCATTAGTCTTCATGTAATGAGCAAGTTCTCTATTGGATCTAAGCTTTGGTACCAGCTGACCCCTGCAGTAACACCATAGAACAAGGAACAATAAAGCCTGACAATTTTCAGCAATCCCCGCTGAATCTCCAAATCTCCGCAATGTTTTGTGTTGATCATACACACTTCACACACCCAGATCGTCACACCATTGCACCTTGTATAATGACTCCATTGTTGGGAACCTCAGAGAATATTGTTAAAGAGAACCATGCTTAGTAAGGGCCTCCAAGTTCACAGGTCTTTCAAAGTCTGGGCCACACAGGGCTAAAAACTGTCTCCCCATTGACAGACCAATCACCAAACACCAGGGCTTTCACATGAGTGGTAAGGGAGACAAATGTTCCTCCATAACTGGAAATACTGACTTCCAGGTAATTAGCCTTTTTTTTAGGAACTAAAGTCCAGCAGTGGTAGATTAAGTATTCCTCTCAACACAGGTTCCCTTCAAAGCCTTGAACAAGCCAACTTGTTTATTATACATTACTAGATCCATAAGTCGTGGTGGAGCTCAGGGGGGCCCAGCAGACCCCCTGTAGAGAGTAATGCTGGAAGTTATAGTCCTCTATAGCCATTACTATTCTGCATTTCTGTAGATAGTATTTCTGGGAGTTGTAGTTCTCTATAGCCATTACCATTCTGCATTTCTGTATAAAGTATTGCTGGGAGATGTAGTCTTCTATACAGAAATGCAGAATGGCAACGGCTATAGGTGGGCAGGGTGGGCATTGTAAGAGCTGGGGGGGCCCATTGTTCCATAGATCTGCCACTGGTGGGGCTCTACAGAAGGTGCAGTGTATATGGACATGTCATCTGGGCAGCCTATTGTACCCAAATCTAGATTTCTGTTAGAAAGACAGATATGACAACTTTGGTCAATAATAATTGTGAAGGTCAAACATATAGTACAAAACTAAGCTTACATATACAATAATTATTTGAATTTCCAAAATCTATATTACCCTTAGGTGCTGCTTATCTTCTGTGATCACATATTCTTTGCTCTGGTTTTCCACCAGCTATGTACCTTTGTTTGACGCTACTATTGTACACTATGGACTCAAAATGGACCTGCTTCCAGGCCTTTTGGTTAGGAGACAGTCAAGATAAGTTCTACGTCACTAATACATGCTTTGCCATGATCAGTTACCAATGGTTTACTGGACCGTACCTTCAGAACAGCGGCAGACGTCTCCCTGACAGAGGCGGCCCAACAAATGGTCACCTTCTACTGTGTGGTAGAACTTGGTGCAGCGAGTTTCTGGAAGAGCAGAGTAAATGATATCAGACTGTAGAGTGGACCTAACAACAGATGTATTTTTCACGACAAGTGCATGAGCCGTTAGTGATATATAAGGGCTGGTGCAGACCTGGGCTATCTGGGACGTGCATCCCAGGACCGCACAACTGTGTGCACTTGCACACAACAGTTACCACGCGACCCTATTAATTTCAATGGGGTTACATCCTCGCCGTAATGTACCTTTTTTTGCGACACATGGGCATCCGTCACGACTTGGGTGGCATTGAAAAAGAATGGCACCACCAGCGCGATCAGCAGTGGTGTGCGACTCCGTGACTGCAATGCAATCCACGCGGTTTCGTGCACGATTGCCGTGTGGTCACAGATTACACAAGTGTGAACCTGGCCTGAATGTAACCAACATCGAGAGTTAGCATCTACCTCCTGGACTGAGGCTTCATTCATACATTTTGGTATACAAAGACCCGAGGTATTCAAACAGCAGCTCAGATGTTTTTTATGGTGTTTATTTACAATTTTATTGTATTTGGTGAATGAGAAGGGTTAACAACTGCCCCTTACTCATTCACGGGGAGTTGGGGGGCATCTGGGTTTATGAAAGGGGAACACAGAATCAGATAAGCCCCCCTGCCCGCAGACTCCCACAACCACCGGGTCAGTGTTGTGGGGAAGAGGCCCTTGTCCTCATCGACAGAGGGACAAGGTGCCTTCCAGGGGGTCCCCCCCTAGCAAAGCACCCTCCCCATGTCAAGGGCATGTGGCCTGGTATGGTGCAGGAGCCTGCTCTGCCAGGCTGCTGCTCAGAATAAGGGTCTGGTAAGGAATTTCAATGGGGACACCTTTTTTTTTTGGCATTGGGGTGCCCCTAAAATTCCTACCAGAATTTTTATTATAAAGTTTAACATGAATTTGTTTGGAATTTAATTTTTAAAAATGTTTTATGCATCCCAAATTTTTGTTATAAAACATGTGGATACATTCAGATTCATTATTTCTTTCATTTGGAAATTTGGATGCATCTGAATGTCCAAATATGCAGAAATTCGTCCAAATTTAAATTTGGAACTAAAAGAATTACACATGTCTAGCCAGAGGCCTGTCAGAGCACTGGCTTTCATTCAGAGTCTTGAAGCAACTTAAAGCTTGCTGGAAGTTGTGAAACCCAAAACAGGAAAAACATTGTACTGACCCCATTGCACACATTTCTGTGTCAGTTTTATTGCATGTTTACCTGGTGAGTAATAGTCATAGATAGTGACGGACCCAGGTTGGACGAGACCCACGTCAAAGTACTTGTGAGCATTGAACTTCACACATTCTTCATCTGTATGAGAGATCTAAATGAAAGTTAGTCGTGTTAATGTCAAATGATTCCCTCTTCTGGATAGAATGTCACCCCGCTGCAGGACCTCTTCAATGCCACAAGTTGCCCTCAGTCTTCTGGATAGAATGCCACCCAGCCTCATTCTGAGAAAAGACTGGCTGTGAGCACCATGGACCTGCCTCCTTAGCAAGGTGCTCACACTCTCAGTGTATTGAAGCAAATATGGCACATATGTCTCCAAGTCAGTGATGCCCTCTGCATCATTCAGGACCACCCACCACCGGAGTAGACCGAAGAGGCAAAGGACCCACTTGACCAGCCAAAAAAGCATAATATACTGCTGGTGGGAGCATCAAGGGGGGAAGAGGTTCCTCGGGGAGGAGAGAACTTGAGCTTTAATACAGAGATTTAAAATGAGGGGAGGCACACATAAAGATCCAGTGAATGAAGTTGTGATAGCACCTTACCTTGTCCAGGTATATGATGAGAGTGCCTTTATCATTTGCTCCTTTGTTGATCTCAAATTGTGAAATGTATCTGTCCACTCCATTTTTAAGCTGTGGGACAATAAAATTTCGATCATTGGGTTTACAAATATTTTAATAGTGTATAAGGGAAATTGATGATCCATGATGAATCATACTGTGAAGCTTCTATTATATGAAATTTCACTTAATCATCCTATTATAAATTGTGCTTTGTATGTCTGCATTTATATAGTGCACAGTGATAGATAGATAGATAGATAGATAGATAGATAGATAGATAGATAGATAGATAGATAGATAGATAGAAGAACAGAAAGAGAAAGAGAGAGAAATAAATATATATTTATATATATATATGTATATGGTTCTCACCCGATTTAGATCGTCAACATCTGGGGAGTATCCTGTCATCATGGATACATCTACAATAGACATGGTAAGGTCCCTGTCTCCACGGTACCTGAGAAAGAGCAAGAGAACATCTCACAGTGTGCCTGGATTCATCTCTGGTTTACCCCATAGGTTGGAACAAAGTGCAATGAAACTAAATCAATGAACATTTTAGTGAGCCACAACATCCAATTTGTTAACTGGACAGGCTTCTGTAGAATGACAGCTGATTGGCTGTTATGGGTTGCAGAAAATTGCACTAACATGCATAAAGAAGTTGAACTTGGTGGCATGAACATAGTGTCGCCTTGAGAAAGGAACCCTGCGTGGCCCCTGATTGGCTGTATGACCTATGTGACGTAGTTACAATAAAATAGACTACGCAAGCACCTTGAATGCTTGAGTGCCGGTGACTTATCTATCAGGGCACCACCCGTTGTTATCACTACAAGCACCGCCTTCCTTGAACAGGTGATAGTGCAAAATGGAGTGCGGGTGGTTTTTACATCACCTCCTCCACACAAAGACACAGTGAGGGGAATTCATCAAAACTGGAGCAGACAAAATCTGGAGCAGTTGCCCGTGGCAACCAATCAGCTTCTCTCTATCATTTTCAAACCTTAACTGAACAAACTGAAGAGAGAAGCTGATTGGTTGCCATGCCCTGCTGCTCAAGATTTTGTCTGCTCCAGTTTTGATAAATTCCCCCCAGTGTAATAAGGCTTGGTAGGTCAGGCACCTCCTACATGCTATTCCAGTGGCTAGTTTGCTTGCCCTTGGCTTGCCCTTTTTGAGTACAGCTGCTACAGTTCAGGTTTTTAATTAAGATAATAAGGCCCCTTTCACACGAGTGATTGGATCAGATCCACCTGTTATTTTTTCAGTAAAACAATGTAATGCTATGGACAGCTCGATGTAAAGGAACGTGTGCACATCTTATTACCATCTAGTCTGTTTAATTCCTAAAGAAAAACGGAGAAGGTTTGCTTCCTTTTCTGCTTTTTTTGGAACGAAACGTGGCGGATCAGAGATAATTGGATGTAAATGGACACATGTCCACTTACAGTACATGCGACTTACACCCGACTACCCATAGACCTAAAACGGGTCCATTTAGTTCCGTTTTTGTCCTCCATCTGCCTGTTGATATTCCTCCCGTACTGCTCCAATCTGTGTACGGATCTTTAACATGAACACTGCTATACTAAAAATACATTCTACTTTAAATGTAACTGATTCGTTACTGTCCAGGGCCTGGCTCTCTGCCATTCATTTGTGACTAATTATCTTCTGGCAAAACACAGGCTGGGGTCGGGTCTAGCAATTGTCTATAAAAAGAGATAGCATACCTGAAGCAGATCTCAACAGATATTGTCCCCAAGGCATTATCTGGTCTTTTAGCTGCAATGAAACAAAGGTACATTGTATGAATAAAATCAACGTATTAAAGGTGGGAGGACATGACATAATTTAATGAGTTCCGTAACTATTTACAAACCAGATACAGAAAATTACAATTAAATAAAAATGCTCCTGTTGGGAAGTCATTATTGAATTCTGAAAAGGTAACACTACAAATAGGCAAAAATGGTGGGCATATTTCTTGGTGTTTTAATGTTTATGTATTTTTGCAGGCCGGGAGGTGGGGTGCCAGCAGGGTACACCTTAAATAGGGGGATGTTGGCAGTGCACGTTACCAGGTGGGGTGCCCAGTACCTCTATTTGGCGTCCTGCCCAACTCACTGATGGCATTGGTTGCCAGGAGCTGGGGGGATGCCAGCCAGAGTGTCCCGCTCAGCTCCCAGCAACCAGCGACGTCAGTGACCTGGGTGGGATGCTGGCCAGAGCATCACAGGTTGCTAAGATGTACCCAAAAAAATGCCGGCGGTATTGTTTATGGTTTAGGGTTTATAATCTATGTGCTCCTGGCAGCTGATATTTCCCCATCACTGACCTAGTATGTCTTCCTGTGCGGAGGCCATCCTGTTAAAAGCAGGGTTTAGCTTCCTCACGGCAGAGCCTCCAGCAAGAGGAACAATGAGCAACATAGTAGTGACATCACAAATCTACCTCCAAATCTCCTGAGACTAACAGTCAGAGGCAACAGAGCCCAATATCTAACACAACAGATGTGCAATTTTCAAGCATGTGAATTGAAGTGCCATAAAAAGCATGTGCCTTGCTGTGTGCTGCCAAGTTGCATTGGGTGCTATTGAAAATTAATAGCACCGCACTTAGTTTAGTGCATGATCATGACTTGCGATAATGTGGCAAAATGCACAATTTTCCCTGTGTTGCAACAATGCAGTAGTCTGAATCTGCCCTAAAGGGAATGTATAGAGGGTTTGTAAATATTTTCTGTTATATCTGTTCTGGTCAGGGCTAAACAAAACTGGGAAAATATTGATAATAACCTGGTGTTTTCATAACCAACCGGGAGGTGTAACTCTTGGCTCCTTTTCACATATTTCCCACCATCTGTCTCAGCAACCCTGCTGCTTACAGAGTTCAGTAGCTTAAGGTGAAACTTATGCACATACAAGTAAGGGCTCATTCACACTATTGCACTGTGGTAACTCCCCTAATACCTCTCTTCTCCAAACTTGTAATTACAGCATCCATTTGTGGGAGATACACATCCCACTGGGAACATCAAGATCATTGACGTGACTGTAAAATCAAAATGGTTGCATTCATTTTCTTTCTCTGTCACTATTTCATAGTACACTGCCGTCACCTGGACAAAGTGATGTAACCAGTATCAAGAACAGTACATTCAATTCATCTTAGTGGAATTCTTAAATACCTACTCCACTCTATAGCAATATACCAAAACTCATAAAATAATTCATTATGCTTTTGGTACTATTTGTAATCTATGATTGTGAAAAAAACAAACGCGTTCATTGGAGTAACAAGAATTCCTTTAAGATTGTATAACTGTAATGTGGAAACATGTGTGACCGGGACTTGGCGTTCCACCAGTTGGGGGGGA